ACAGATGCTTACTGATTTTCAAAAAGTACAGCTTTACTCTGGAGCTGAATTTTAAAATTTTTTTATGTGTTTAAATATCTATTTTATCTTAAATAGAATTTTAAATCTCTTAAATTCTAAAAATAGTCTGTGCAGTGAGGGCTTTAAGTCTAATACATTCCAAAGTTTTTCGATCTTTAATCCATAAGAATGGCAGCCAATCTGCTTGCATTTTCAGCAAAAGTTGTCATTCTGTAATAATAAACCTAACAACCCCAGACGGGGCTGGCAGGCCACAGGGGCATTAAGTCAAAATTGAAATTCTTTTACGAAGTCACAGTTTTGTTGAGTAATATATATAGGAATATAAAAATATAATAAATTTTAAGATGATATTTAACATTACGGCAAAGATTAAAGTGAATGGAAATCTCCTAGTTAATAGTCAAAAGATGTAGTTAATAGTCACATCAGTAGTCTTTTTAGAAGCTAATAGCCATTTTGTGGGTTTCAATAATAATTTGAAGAAATTTAAAATGCTCACGTCCAATAATTATTATATTGCCAGTAGTTTATAGCAGTTTGTAGTTTTTAAAGTTCACGTATAGTCAATAATTATATATTATAATAGTATATTATGCATATTATTAATATTTCGTAATAGTTTTTCAGGTTTTTTTAGGACCATTGATAATCAAAAGGTCCGAATAATATTTCATCAGACTCGTTTGTCTATTGATGATCAAAGATCATAATCTTTATGTAACATATTGCACTAAATCGCATGTTATTGTATAATAATATATTAGTATAAACATTAAAGGCCATATTAAACTGACTGAATTAAGGCAAACGAATCACCTCTATTTACAAGCATTCTGTGATGCAATGATTCCTCATTGAAAGGCACTTCAATCCCCCCTTTTATTTTTCAAATGGCCCACCAGCGGCCGAGCGTTAAAGACGCTGAACACTGGTAGTTCGGTCCGAGGTTCGAATCCCACGAACGGGCTGGCAGCATGGGCGTTTTCGTGGTTTTCCCCATGGTTTCGTGGTTTCCCATAATAATTATAATGTTAATAATGCATTTATACAATAATGTCATGATGTGCCAGTTACAAACAACGAGGTAGCACTGTATTACAAAAACATAACATCATAAATAATGAAAACAAATATTATAATTAGTGTAATTGGCATCATATTGCAATGTTAAATACAAGTATATAATAAATATTACAATATTATAACACAAACATGTACATTTTATATATTGTATACAATATTCTCAATGCATACATAATGCTCAATATAATATATACAACATGTGCAAGAAAAAAAGGGTATGTAAACAGGTGCAACATTAAAAAAATATACAATTTTTATTACAATATATGCAGCATATACACTAAGCGTGCCACTTTACGTATACATACATGCAATATTATTTAGTATTGTAATGAAAGCGTTCAAAGGACATGTGATTAATTAATACAGAAATTAAAGGTTTTGGTCTACAAAATCAAAATAGATACTTCAAATTAAAGCTGAATGTAGATTTTAGTAAATATTTCAGTACATCCAACAATAAATTTTTAAGTGCCGTTTCAACCGGATTTAGGATTTCCAAACTCCCGTTTTTCAACACATAACACAACTTTTACCATTAGATAACGAAGACATTTTTATCTATTCGTATCAAAAATGTAAGCGTCAGAAGTATTTTTAAAGTGCCAATTTTTATGTCTCGCTTTTATGAAAAGTATTGCATTTCTTTGCAAAAGAATTAAAGTTATAGCTGTATTACGTATTAAAAATGTCTGCAAGTTCGAGGTGCAAACAGGTTGAAAATAGTAAAATACATTTCAGCAACCTTTGATAAATGTTGTGACAACAGTATCATATTATCAGTAGTGTAAGAAGTTGTGAAAACTTGTGAGTATTTTATGTCAATTAACCAGTTATTACGATTCGAACCTTTACTAGAATTTCTTCTTTTCGTAGAGCCCACCAGCGGCCGAGCGGTAAAGACGCTGAACACTGGTAGTTCGGTCTGAGGTTCGAATTCCGCGAACGGGCTGGCTGCATGGGCGTTTTCGTGGTTTTCCCCATGTGTAACGTGTATACGAGCCAGTTCCCTTAGAAAGTCCTCCACGAAAAGCATCCCTCCCTTTAGGCAGATAGCCCTCGTGTGCTTTGCCATAATTAAATACACCACCACTTCTTTTCGTAGTCCGCACCAAGAATGCAAATTAGTTTTCTGAATATTTAAGCCCAAGTTTTGAACGTTTTAGAATTAGACGTTTTGGCAGCCTCGACTGCAGTTTACGTTCTATCGCCACCTCTACCAAAGATTATTCCTGCTTTAGTAATTTTGATTGCCGACGTTAAAAGCGCGTCGATAAATATTTGATCCAGCTTAAGGCGACAATTTTGTGTAGGTTATGACTATAATAATTGAATAAAAATTTCAACTTACGTTATTTTAAATACTCGCAAGTGACTATGTTCTGTCTTATAAGCAAAAGTGATGCGTTCTGTTAAATTTAAGAAAAGGTTATTTTAAACGTTAACAAAAAGATTATTTTGACTTTTGCAGAACTTTGTCATCTTATTTCACACTGGAGCGATAATTAGCTTGTCAGTCTCGTAGGTTTGAAAGATAATGATTTAAGCTTCTACAAAAACTCTTCTCTAGATTTCGTAGGTTTGAAGGATAACGATTTAAGCTTCTACAAAAGCTCTTCTCTAGATTTAAGCTTCTTCTATCATTCAAAATGACTTCAAAGATCTTTACTTTTTTTCCTTTCTTATGTAAGCCTCATCAAGTTATTGAATTAATAAGACCACTGAAATCTGATGGTTTGACCCGGGTTCAAATTTGGGCTGGCTGCGTAAGTGTTTCCATTGGTTTTCCTCATATGTAACGTGAATATGCCCCTGCTTCCCTTGAAAATAAATTCCGGCATATTTTCTCATTGACAGACCTAGCTTTTCAAGCGGCGATTCCCAAAAGAATACCCGAACTGGCGCAATCTAATCTACCTAAGGCAGAGACAGCCCTTCTGTGCTTTTTTTTTTTCCTTCGATAACCTACCTATACAGCATAAAACTGTATATTAACACTAAATTTTATTCTTCTTTCGCTGATATATTTTCAGATTGTTTTGTGTGGTGGTGGGTTTTTATATATATATTTTCAGTCCAAAGGGGCATTGTTCCTGAAGGACTATTGTTTTCGTTTTGCGTTGGTTCACTATAAATATCCGTTTTACTTTTCAAACTGTTGCCACCAAATGTTAGAGTCCTGCATTATATTTGAAGAAATTAAATAATGAAAAATCTGTATTAATGTATGCATATTTCGCGCATTCTGATAAAGCAACGGTACATAGAGCCATCGAATTTTCAATGACGTAATCCTACTGCGAATATGGGCATGTGGGAGCCCAAATTTGAAATTTGGAATTTGTTTTATTATCGATTTCCTATCTTGTAAAACTTTAACGAATTTTTGATTAACAAACTCAAGGATTTCAAAGCGAGCAATGGCAACGTTGTAGAGAAAAAAAAAAACATTTTTATCTCCAACGCGCGAGACTCTATATCAGAAATTCTAAAGATATGCTCAATGTAAAACTATTTTACAATATTGCTCTTGAACTTAATTTCATGGTTTAAGTGAAAAGAACGTGATATTTAATAAATAAATGTAACAGACAAAATGTTAAAAAAACGCCCTTTAGATGTAATTTAAAATCTGAAACCTTTCAGTTTTTTTTTTTTTTTATTTTTTTTTATTTATTTTTTTAAGTCCAAAGGGGCAATTTGCCCTGAAGGAGTATTAATTTCGTTTTGGCATTTTGATTCGAAAACCTTAAGGTGGTATCACTTTTCAAATCGTTGCCACCATATATTATCGCCCTGTCTTATAGTTAAAGAAATTAAATAATGAATAATCTGCATAAATGTATGTATGGTTTTCGCATTGTAATAAAACAACGGTACCTAGGTCCATCAAAATTTGAATAACGTCTTCCATAGAATATGGGCATGTGGAAGCCCTAATTTGAATTTGTTTTATTATCGATTTCAGATTTTGTAACACCAACGAATATTTGATTAAAAAACTCAAGGATTTGAAAGCGAGCAATGGCAACACCCTACAAAGAGGGGAAAAAAAAAAACTTTTTATCTTCAGCGGGCGGAACTGTGTATCGGAAATTCTAAAGATAGACTCATTTTAAAATTATAATTTGAATTATTATTTATGTTTGTAATGGAATCGTATTTGGAATCGTGCTGCTTCGCCTACCATCCAGAAACAAAGCAGTGCAAAGTGGGTTGGCTCAAACCCATCAAAGCCGAAGAAAGTGCGTTTCCAAAAATCCTGGGTGAAGACAATGCTTTTTATTTTAGCCCAAGGGGCAATTTGCCCAAAAGGGCTATTAACTTCGTTTTGCCATTTTGCGTTGGTTCATTTTAAACGGCGTTTCACTTTTCAAATTCTTGCCACCAAATATGTGAGCCTTGCGTTATATTTAAAGAAATTAAATAATTAAGAATCTACATGAATGTATGCATGTTTCTCGCACTGTGAAAACGGTACCTAGAGACATCAAACTGTGAATAACTTAGTCGTCTAGTCGAATATGGACATCTAGAAGCCCAAAATTTGGAATTTGTAATTTCATATTTTGTAACACCTTTAACGGATTTTTGATTAACAAACTCAACAATTTCAAAGCGAGCAATTGCAACACTGTAGGAAAAAAAAATTTTTTTTCATCTTCAGTGCGCGGAGCTGTGTATCGGAAATTCTAAAGTTTGCTCATTATAAAATTAATTTGCGATATTGCTGCTGAATTTAATTTTATAGCTTGAGTACGTAGAACATGATATTTAATAAATAAAGGTAACACACAAAACGTTAAAAAAAACGCCCCTTTAGACGTAATTTAAATTATGATTTTTTTTTATCATTATTATTATTATTTTTCTGATTGAGATATATTTTTCAGAGGAAAGCAAGTACAAGCATACTGCCACTGATGTTACTCACCCATGTAAAGCGAAGACATGTGGAGCGAATGAAGTGTGTCTTGTAAATCGCAGCTGTAATTTTGGAGAAGTCTGTGCTCCTTTCGTCTGTGTACCAGGTAACATTGAAATCTTATAAATAGTATTCCTCGTGTACCTTATTTACTCGCGTATCCCCCTTCCCATTACAATATTATTTCTATAAAAGAAACTTACATTCTAATAAGAATAAACAGCAATATTAAGATTAAAATATCTGACGGTAATTGAGCAGAACATGTCGCGCTCCAGCTCAGTCCAGTCATGAATGAAAATGAATGAAAAGTTTAATACAGTAATATAAATCCATCCTAAATACACTGAATAAAAATAAAAATAATTAAAAGACTACAATTTACCAATAAACAAGCTAAATTAAAAATATTATATGCATAAAATGTATATATATAAGACACATAAAATATACATATGTAATAAAAAAACAATCACATAACAATAAATAATAAGTCAGATTATAATTTTAACATCATCTAGCCTGAAGGTCTTCACTTCTACTAATATCTTACATATACAGTGCTTCCTTATGATATCCGTTAGACATTCAAGATGGAATCATCCATTTCAGTATCATTCCTGAAATAGAATTGATTTTAAATTTGCGCGAATACTTGGTAAAATAATCATGCCCAGATTATAAAATCGAACGCTGTTACAGTACCTCATCATTTTTAAACTGAGAAAGTCATCCATCCATAAAGAAATTGAGAAAGTCATCCTTCCAAATTTATTTGAATTCTTCTTCCTGAATAACTTGCAAATTTTTTTTTAAAAACTGTTAATGAAAATTCTTATATAGGAAGAAATAAAAACTGAAAAATAGGGACTCCTGAAAGATTGTTTATTCTTTTTCTGGTCAGTAACTCTGCCACTTAATTTCCATATGTACCACAATAGCATGGAACCTGCTGTAATACTACGGGGGTTAATTTTAACTATGCAGACTATATGTGCAGTTTTTTAAACTCCGAAAATCTAGATGATCACATAAAATTGTGGTCTGAATATAACCTAATGACTCTAAAATAAGTCTTTCGCAAAGGCATAAAAGTGCCGGCACCTTTATGAATCCATTACTATAAGGAAAGTAACCCTCGTCAAAGCCGACGGGACGCCCATGTTAAAGTTTTAATTTTGATGAAGAGTCGCGAGCTTGCAGGAAATATGCCAGCGCCTTTTAAGCTGACTAACAATGACTAGATACATAAACTGCCAGGTGGAGGCTCTTGAAGAGGCTAGATGTTTAGTGTGCTTTACCAATTTTGTCTGTGACTCTTTTTGTGCCCCATACAGTTGTACCTGACCTGTCCTGCCTACAAGATACAAGTGTGTGCAGAATTTGGTGGCACTCCTATGATATTCGGTATCATAAAGAAAACAGTTCTCATCAAGCGTAACGGGACCCTCATGTCACGGTCTTGGCAAATAGTCAGTACTTGCATAAAGGTGCCGACATCTTTATAACATTTTATGAAATCATTGGGGTGGCTCCTCGCTTTTTGCAATAGGATAAAGAATTAGCTCCAACTATTAAGAATCTGTAACGACGAAGGAGTTAAGACGTTGAGTTTAATGTGGTTAACATTGGTTTATCTTTCGATTTTTTTAGAGCGCCATTAACCTTTAAATGCATGTAATTGCCATTTGACAACATACTCATATTTAGTCATGTAAATCAAATCAAAACACAAGTTTTAGCTTACTTCATAGTGTAACCAATTGGATACATACTGGTTACGTATTATGGTTTTGGAAATTTCAATATGGTGGCACCACTAACGGTGTAACGTTCATTATTGTGAGCTGATGTGTAGGCTGTGCACATCATTTGCGTTTACGAATTTTTAATTTTGTGTTTGTTGTTATTTTGATGTATTCAAAGCTTTTAAATTGTTTGAACAAGTTTATAAGGTTTGTGTTATTACATAAAATTGTTATTACACATTTGCCTATTATATTTTTTTTGTTAAAGTTAATAATATTTTTCAAAAATTTGAATAAAAACTTAGTTTAGACCTTTTTTTAGTATTTTTCCTATTTTATTTGATATAAATTCTAATGTACTTTTGATTTTAAGAAAAAAAATTAAAATTAATGCATTTAAGGGTTAAATCTTCTTCTTCGTATAAATTTATTTTTTTTTTCTGCATGAATTCTACAGTTATGATTAATGTTTCTTCTTTTAAAGCATCCATATGTGGTCAAAAATGAGCGTCACAGGCACGGGAAATTCCCGGAAATACCGATAGCCCCACCCGCCCCTCCTGTTTGCCTCAAAAGCATTAAAATATCTAATACATTTATTTTACCAAAAATAAATGAATTTTCCAAAGCTTTTTATAAACAATGCAGTGGCAAATGAATACAATTCTTATTATCAATATTTTCTGAGTAGCTGCAGTCTGTAGCATTAACGCTATTAAAGATTTTCAAAGCCATTTCGTAAGCCAAATACTTTCATAACAGGAGTTAAATGCATGCTTTTGTTAAAAGATGAAAACACTCTATAATGGGCTTAGCCTGTTACGCTTCTATATCGTTACCAAGATCAGTCTACGTAATTTTCCGTCCTTAGATCGTCGCTGTGAAGGCAAGCATTAAGATTTTCTACCACCAGCATACCCTAAACTAGTCAGAAATCGTTACGCTATTCACAGTCTCAATTGTAATCATTGTTCCGTAACCATAGCTTCCGCGGTCAACTACTAGTGCAAAGAAAATATTTTTCTGTGTGATTATGCTATTTTTGGAATGCATGAATTATTCCCCTCCTAAACTATTTTGTTTCCAAGTCGGTTCCTCTTAAAAATAACCTTTATGAAAAGCCGTTAAAATAAATATAATGTTGCTTCTCATACTTACGAGAAGCTACTATAAATGAAGTTACGGAAAGATAAGTTGCTTATAATGACTACATGTAATGATCTATAAAAATTATCTTGTTAAATTGCTAACTTAGATTAAATGTGAACTATAATCATAATTTTTTATTAGCAGATCTTTTACATGCTGAATGAAGACAGTGGTCTCAAACCATTGTGGGTTTGTGACCTACGGGCTTCGTGGGCCGCATGTGGCCTTCGAAACAAATTTTTGAGGCCCGCGAATACATTTCAATTATCTGTTTGTAGCAAATATAATATTTCAAAATATTTGTTACTTGAAATACAAGTAAACATTATTTTCATCACCGTTAAAAACGAACTTGAGTAAAGTATCAGAAAAATAAATGAAATTAACTAGTTTACGATATGATATAAATTTTATTCAAAGATTTCAAGCTATAGATTTGATTAACTTTCATTCTCACTTTTCAAAAACATAAATATGCTCAATTACGAAATTTTGCATTAAGAACTTGGCTTAGCTAAGAATTTAGCTTTGAAATAAGTTTAAATTAACAGAACATTTTCACAGTTCAAATGAATATGAAAACAACCGGATTGATTGATGAGAATCTACAATCTGTGATGAATCTAACGTGTTTAATTAATTATTAGATCACTTGCCTTAATTTAATCTAAAAATAAAAAAAATTGTGAAGATTTAGAAAGATTTCATAATTTATTTATTTTTAGTCTACTTAGAAATTTTTAGTTTACTTTAAGTCTACTTTTTGATTTTATTCTTTGCCTACTTTTTGTCTACATAGAAATTCTCCCAAGTAAGACAAAACTTGAGAATAAATAATGACAACCTAGACTCTTTCTCTCATTTATCAAATTTTTCTTCGAAGCATAAATAAAAATACATTTGTTCGCATATAAATAATTATAAACATCTTTATTTTTTAGTACAGCTTGACATTTGATGGCATTTCGATTCTGATAAAGTTTGTAACCATTGTAGAAAGTTATTAGAAATTACTTTCATCATGGATTGTAGATGCTCATTGATCAAGCTGGAGCTGTTCACATATAAATATATATGAAAGGCTAAGCGATTATTCTTAGCGCAAAAATTCACTTATTTCAAATAATTTTAACATGCTCAATGAATCATTGCATCAGTCAACGCATAAATAAAAATACACGTGTCTGTATGCAAATAGTTATAAACTTCTTTATTTCTTACTATATTTCTATTTGAGGGCATTTCGATTCCGATAAAGTTTGGGGCATTGGAGAGAAACTTACTAAAAATTATCTTCATCATGGATTGTAGATGCTCATTGATCAGCCATTTTTCTTTTCGTATTAATTTCAACTGTGAGCTAGAGATATTTACATATAAATGTATTTCAAAGCAAAGCGATTACTCTTAGGGAAAAAATTCGTAACTGAGCATTTTGTTGACAATATATTTAATTACAAAGAGTAACGAAAGAAACGCCTTCATGTACCAAACTTAAAATTTTAGATACAAAATAAATATAAGTTTGAAATTTTTCTTTGGATATTGTTGTTATTTTTATGTATGTTTAAATGACTATTTATTAAGAGAAGTTTTAAAATTTTCTATAATATTTTTTATATTTGTTAATAAAAATCTTGATTTCTTTAAAAAAAATGTGCAGTTCGGTAGCTGTTTTCAGTACATAAATATACTTCATAATATTTCGGTTTCGGTTCAAATGCATTTTTTTTTTTTTTTTTTGGTTTCCCCGGTGTATGCAAAACTTGTTAGGCTTACTATAAGCACTAGTTATACATTAATCATAATCTTCCACTTTGTCATTTGTTCGTGTGCCAGTAAAACATTTTGATCGCTTTTTTTCAGTGCGGGGGGGGAGTTTTAATTTTCACATTTGCGTTCATATTTTGGTTAGGTATTTGATGTAGGAAGACAGTATTTGACCTGCTGAGAAGGATTTATTGTAATATTTTAAAATGATATAATATTTTGTATTAGAGAAATGAATTCCTTAAACAAAGTACAAAATTAAATAGGAATTCCTTGAGAGCTTAGATAAAAAATACAACATTTCATTGAATTCCGCTATAATTTTTGTCTTGTCACAGAGATTTGAATAGAGCAAAATGCGATTGGCGAAACTGCGCCTTTCGAGTCTTTCAAAGCAAAACAGCAGCAAAACTTTCACCTATAATGAAGCTCAATATCTAAAAATACATTAAAAAGGACAGAACAGAAATATGTGCTTTCAAATGCTTGGTTCTTAAACTAGAAGTACAAAATTTTTATGTTTCACTTTTGCAGGAATCCAAAAAAATTCCATGTATCGGAACTCTATATTAATTTCATTTAATTTATTTCTGAAAAATTAAGAGAATAGATTTTCCCGACTGCACAATACATCCCCTCTAATTCTTGTCTTTTATTTGCAAATCACTTCGAATTTAGAATGGCCGAAGAAGCAAAATATAATCATATACATAATCGCGGCAAATAATTTGAGAATAAAGGACTGGACTCTGCTTTACTTTGACAACAGTGCAGCTGGTACTCTTGGAAAGGAATCTTATCAGCCTGTTTAAGCTCTAAATACATCCTTTGATCCAATAACGCATCCTTTAGTAGCTAAATGAGAATGAAAACGCAGCGGCGATGAGATAAGTTATGCAGCTAAATCATCCAATTGTGTAGCACCTATTGTTTTGAATTTTGTATATATGTGAATAATTCTAGTGAAATTAGAAGTAAATTTTAGTATCCCTGTGTATCTGGATATGGTCCGATCGCTATGTTACCGTAGTTGTATTCGGCCTTATGTAATTGCAACTGTGCATGCCTTCCAGTAATTTTGAGAAATTGAAAGTATTGGAAATTTTTCGGAGGACGGGGAAACTATATAAGACCGGAGAGAGAATCAGATTTCAGCTTAGCTCAAAGTACACTCATGCCCATAAATTAAGGATAATTCGGAGTCACCCGGAAATCGAACTCTAAAATAAATATATCACCTGTAAAATCACTACACACATCTTCAAGAATCATATGCAAATTTCAGGAAGTAACTAGATGACACCGATGGTACGTCACAATGACGAGAGTGTAAGAGAGTGATATATAAGGAATACAGGCAAAGAAGTAAAATTGTTCGCAGGCGCTTTATAAGCATTTCAGTGCAATAACCGAATAGTTATGACACAAAGGACGCATTTGGATGATTTTTTACGTGGTAGAATTATCGGCCGTCTGGAATGTGGGCGTACCGAACTGGAAGTATCAGACGAACATGGAATTGCCCAGAGTGTCATCTCCAGGCTTTGGCAACGATTCCAAGATGATGGTAATGTGAGTAGACGTTACAGCACAGGTCGCCCCAGAGTTACAACGCCGAATGAGGACCGGTATTTGGCAGTTACTGCCAAAAAGAAACAGGCGGAGCACAGCCTCAGACCTGTCTCTTCAGCCACTGGTACGACACTTTCAAGGCAGACCGTGTACAGACGCTTAATAGGGCAGATTGGTCTATATGCTCGTAGACCTGTCAGATGCTTTCCACTAACTGCAACTCACTGTCGCCTGCGGTTAGCCTGGAGTAGAGAGCGCGCATTGTGGACACCGCAACAGTGGGCTTGTATGATGTTTTACGACGAGTCCAGGTTTAGCTTGCATTCTGATTCTCGCCAGACTTTCGTATGGAGAGCTCCAGGTACCCGTTACCACCAAGAAAACATCATTGAACGACACAGTTACGGTGGTGCAAGAGTGCTCGTTTGGGGTGGAATTATTCTGGGTTCCAGAACTGACCAGCATGTTCAAATTGGAACCATGACAAGCCAAATCTATCGGGACGTCATTCTGGAACAACATGTACGTTTGTTTCGGAGCGCCATGGACGCACAATTGTGTTTATGGATGACAACGCCCGTCCTCACCGTGCAAACATCGTAAGCGAATGCCTTCAATCGGAGGATATCACCCGTATGGACTGGCCAGCATTCTCACCGGACTTGAATCCAGTAGAGCACGTGTGGGACATGCTTGGCCGACGAGTTGCAGCCCGTCAACCTCCTCCTACATGTCTACCGGAATTTCGGAGAGCATTGCTTTTTGGGTGGTGTAATATTCCCCAAGATCAGATCGATAATTTGATACTCAGCATGTCTAGGCGTTGTACGGACTGTATTGCATCGTCTGGGAGACATACATTGTATTAACAATCATAGCAACCATGTAATATTGGTTTTTCGTAAATAGTTTTTTTTTAAATTTGCTCCAGGGGGGAAAAATCGCTAATTTTTTTAATAATATCAAACATATGGCATCTTTTTTTGTTCTTTACCTTTTGCTTAATAAATAAGCTTTACAAGTAAGTCAAATTTGTTTTGCTAACTCTTCCTTTGCCTGATTTTGCATTATCCTTAATTTATGGACATGAGTGTATTAACAGTTCAGAGCACTGAAAGATCGCTGTGCAAGCTTACGCATTTGAGGTTTTTTTAAATTGCCTATTTGTTCAACGTTCCTAGTAACTTGAAGTGGTAACTACTAATTGTGCTCTGTGATACTAGAAGAACTGTGTGATTACTTTTGTGTGAAGAGTTCCAGAACTGTAAAGTGTTTCTGGAAAATAAATTTCATCAAGCTATCATCGATTCTGTGTACTTCAATCCATTACAACCTCGTACGCATATAACAAATATCGGGTATCTTAAAATAGACTAACGTTTTTCAAATATTTATAACAGGAAAAGGTTAAAATTAACAAACAATTCGTGGAGCAAATTCATGTGACAGGGCATAAATGTTTCTTCTCAAAATTCTTGGTTTTAGTTCAGAAATTTTCCGACAGATAGCGCATCACAATGTTTCGAGATTTTTTAACGAATGAAAATTACGTTACAATATTTTCGAACTGTCCACCATCAGCCACAATCACATGTTGTAATCGGAGGACGAAATTAGCAGACATTTTCCCAAATACCCAAATGGAATGACTGCACAGTGTTCGCTATTCTTCATTTCTTCAAGTTTCTCAAGTATTCGGGGATTTTTACCGTATACTGCATCCTTCAAGTGATCTCAAGGAAGAAACCACGTGGATTCAAGTCTGGTTACTACTCTAATTACTTTCCTGTTAAGCATTTAAAGTAATAACACAGTTATCAAAATATTCATCTAACACAGTGAAAACTTCAGCATCCAGTGATGGCCTCGCAGCATCTTGTATGAAGCAGGGTGTCGCAGATGGTTAGACTAAAGCATTTTCAGTAGTCACACGTTGAAACGTGTCACGTAGAGAAAAAAAGGATCCAGTTATACCTCTTGTGAAAACAACTGCCCGTACAGTCACTTTTTGAGAATAGAGTGATAGTGGAACACACACATGAAGGTTCTCAGTTTCCCAGATTCGCCAGTTTTGCTTGTTGACGAAACCATCTAGAATAGAAGTAATGTGAAAACTATATAGAGTTCACATCAATATGGCCACTGTTAATCATTTCCAGCATTTCATTGGGAGACATGTTCCTTTTCTCTACGGATATGGTCTGAAGCGGTTACTGTGTTTGAATTTGTACGGAAACAAGGCCAGGCAATTACGTATTATCTTATACGCCGCTAGTTTACTCCATTGATATGCGGCTGCAGTTTTACTCCATTGACATGCGGCTGCAGTTTTTCCGACTGTTTTCTTGCGGAGCGCGCAGTTGTTTTCCCAATCCGACCTGTAGATTTGCTTCTGTAATAACCGACCGATGCCGTCCAACAGTTCCGATTTTCTCATCCGCAACACTACCTGTTCGTTTAAAATTCTCTTACAATGTTTTTATTGTATTCGGCTGCGGATTATTAGCGACCTGGGAATATGCATTGAAAGCTTGCTTCTGTTACCCTCTCCTCCAGTCGGCGGAATTTCCAATACAGGGAATTTCTTTTCCTCCAACGGATCCTCATTTTCAACACTTTCGTGTAGAATCTGCTTTTCAGCTCTTTACCGCTCGTGCAGTCACAGTTAACATCCTTTTATTCAAAATATCAACCCCTTGTGCGGATGCGTATTTTAATGATTTGCATATATCAAAACTGCAAAGAACGGTGGAAGGTACTTGCAGTGCCATCTGTCGGAAAATATTTGAACTAAAATCAAGAACTCATTTATGCCCTAACACAGGAATTTGCTGCAAGAATTGTTTTAACATTAACCGTTTTTCTGTTATAAATTTTGAAAACCGTGAGTCTATTTTAGAAGACTCGGTATATGCCGATACATTGCTGTTAAAATACTTGAGTAATACTGTTTTCAATACTACGTTAAGTAATAATGCCCTGAGGATAAAATACTGATGAACTGATAATGATGCTGGTATATAGTATTTACAAGGTAATACAATATTTATGAACATGTCTTTGTATCATTTTATCATTTTCTTAGAAATCATGCATAGTAAATAATTTATGTTGACTGATTGTTTGCTTGCAATGAATTAGAAGTGTTCTTCTTCGTCATAAATATTATCTGTCGTTTTCCTTTATAGGTTGTAGAATGGGTGCCGTGTCACAGTTGGTTGTACCGGGAGGAACTTATACACAAATACCGAGATTATACAGAGGAAAGCATTGCAATTCTGTTTGCTATTGTAACAAGCAAGGAATGATTGAAAACTGTATTGCTATGCCTTGTATTAACAAAGGACATTGCTCAGTTCTTGGGAAGGAGATACGTAAGTACTGAAGTCAATGACCCTCATCCTGTAATAAAATTAGGTTCTGTTATAAAATTACTTACACTCTTATAACTTATTTACACTCTTACAACTGTTTAATATGTTGGACTTTTTTTGTAGCTCATCAAGGTCAATATTTTGGAAATTGCACGGTGTGCTACTGTTTTGCAGGAGAGCTGAGATGTGCAAGAGTTTGCAAGCTAGATTCCTTAACAAATGCAAATATGGAACTTATATCAGGTATGAATTCTTATTCATATGATGTCTCACAACAGAGTTTAAAACTGACTGAATATTAATCGTCTATCTGTCTACAACAAGCAGAACTATACAGTAAAAAACATTTTAATTCTAATCTGCTTAATCTTATTAGGATAAGTTGAGTTGTTTAGGAAATAATTATAATTTGAATTATTATTTATGTTTGTAATGGAATCGTATTTGGAATCGTGCTGCTACGCCTACCATCCAGAAACAAAGCAGTGCAAAGTGGGTTGGCTCAAACCCATCAAAGCCGAAGAAAGTGCGTTTCCAAAAATCCTGGGTGAAGACAATGCTTTTTATTTTAGCCCAAGGGGCAATTTGCCCAAAAGGGCTATTAACTTCGTTTTGCCATTTTGCGTTGGTTCATTTTAAACGGCGTTTCACTTTTCAAATTCTTGCCACCAAATATGTGAGCCTTGCGTTATATTTAAAGAATTAAATAATTAAGAATCTACATGAATGTATGCATGTTTCTCGCACTGTGAAAACGGTACCTAGAGACATCAAACTGTGAATAACTTAGTCGTCTAGTCGAATATGACATCTAGAAACCCAAAATTTGGAATTTGTAATTTCATATTTTGTAACACCTTTAACGGATTTTTGATTAACAAACTCAACAATTTCAAAGCGAGCAATTTCAACACTGTAGGAAAAAAAAAACATTTTTATCTCCAGGGCGCGAGACTGTGTATCGGAAATTCTAAAGATAGGCTCATTTTAAAATTACTTTGGGATATTGCAGTTGAACTGAATTTTATGGTTGAAATACGAAGAATATGACTTTTAATAAGTAAAGGTAACACACAAAACGTTAAAAAAATGTTCCTTGGGCGTAATGTAAAATCTGAAAGCTTCAGATTTTTTTTTCCCTCTGCAAAAGATTAATTTACAAGTAATTCGTTCCTGAAGGAAAAACAGTGAAAGCGGAGTTTTACATGGGTGTGTTTGATCGGCTAGTGAAACGCATCACACATGTGCATCTGGACTTTCATGCAAACAAAAATTGGTTCCTGTTGCACGATAATGCGCCGTCCCACAATGCAGTCGTTTTTGACCAAAACAAAAAAATTGTTACTGTGTTACACCGCCCTATTCGCTGGACATATCACCGCCATCTTACTTTTTGTTTCCAAAACTGAAAATAAAACTTTATTGATTCGACAATTTCAAGATGATAGAACAAAATGAAACGTTACGTGGGAGCTGCAAGGCGTTCCAGCAGAAGACTACCAAGACCCTAAGGAACAGCTTATGGATCGCGCCGCCACTGCAGATATTTTTTTTTTTTTTTTTTTTTTTTTTAACGAGCTTAGTCTTGAAGTTTTTTTAAAGCTAGACTTTCTTGAAAATAAGACGCCCTTTTTTTGTTATATTTCATTATAAAATTTAGTAGGATCTTATATACTCTAATATTTAATAGGGTATATAAATTTAGCAGAATATTTTGATAAATGAAATTTCGGAACGAGGTAAAGTTTTAAAATCTTAAGTTTAAATAAAGTGGCAATGTTGTTCAAAATAAAACATTTTATCCCCAGGGCGCCAGACTGTTGCCATTCGGCAAAATCTAATATGTGCAATTTTCGGCAATCTAATGTGTGTAATGACCTGTATTACTTTTGTTGCCGCGAAATATTATCGCCTCGTATTAATTTTAAAGAAATTTAATAATGAATAATCTGCATGAATGTATGTTATGTTTCTAGCACTGTGAAAAAACGACGGTACCTATGGCCATCGAATTCTGAGTAACTTAGTCCTCCATCCGAACATGTGCACTTGAAACCCGAATTTTTAATTTCGAATTTTATATTTTATGTTTCGTATAACTTGAATGAATTTTTAACAAACTCAATGATTTGAAAGAGAGTAGTGTATGAAGTTTGAAATGCTTTATGAGCGGTTTGAAAGCCAGCAACACTGTACGGATTAAAACACTGTTATCTGCAGCGCGAGAGACTGTCTATCGGAAAATTCTAAAGATATTCTGTTTTTAAATATTTTATGATTTTGTTATTCAACTGAATGTATTAAATACGATATGTTGCATCTAAATAATTGAACCACTAACTGAAATAAAATACTTTTATCTTCCTCTCGTCAGCATGTTGCCATTTTGTAAAGCGTAAGAAGTTTAATCTTCAAATTTAATCTCCCTGTTACTGATTAACAAACCAAGCGATTTAAAAGCAATAAACGCAGCTCTTAGGAACATTTTTTTTAAACTTTTTAATCTACTTGGTTTAAATTAGAATGCATCAAATCACGAGTTGTCTAAATAGAAATATCGAATATTTTTATGAAATATTATCTGGACTCGTTAGAACCATTATATATGTTTCCCTTTTATGATAATAACTATTCTAGACGCCTGGCTGCGCAAGCGGCTAGCAATATATAATTTTTTTTTCTTTCATTAATTTATTTTCCCATTATTTACCACTAAAATTTTAATGTTATATTCTAATTTCAGGTCCACTGTGTACGTGTTCTTTGCATTATTCTCCAGTCTGTGGACTAAATGGAAAGACATACAGAAATCCATGTGCTGCGAGGTAATTTTTAAAGTGAACTGTTTCAAAATAAGATTATTCAGATGTTATTGTGCCAAATATTTATTATACGGAAATTTAAAGCATACGAAAAATTCAAATCGCAGCTCTAATAAAGGTCATAAATACTTTAGCATAAGTCATAATAAATTTATTTGCACGACATATAAATCTCTTAACTCCGATATATTTTTTTCCATTTCATTAGAGTTATTAACATGGTTGCAATACTTCAATGCGCTGAGCTCCATCAGTGAATTTCTTTGAATTTTTTCAAATGTTTTTAATCGAAATGTATGACTTAATTTTCCTGTATTGAAATGATTCATGTAATTAAGACACAATAACACGCCGAATAAATACTAATTCAGAAGTCAAACAACAAAAATCAGCCTATTATTTACAAAATTTTTTTCACAGACTAGTTTCGATGGTTTTACCGAACCACCATCTTCAGCTGCAAAACCGCAAATGAATAATAATGTAAATAATACGCTGATTTTTGTTGTTTGACTTCTGAATTAGTATGATTCATGTAGTTAGAATACATGTTATTTCTCATATAAAATTACACTATATTATATTATCGCGTCAACAATTATTTTATATAATATTTTTTGCTTCTGTCCAAACCACAGAAGTGATGCATAAATTATGCAAACTGTTTATTGTGCTATGGCTTGATGTTACAGAATTTTAAATCTTAGAACTAGTAGATACATCTGATATGCGTATTATTATTATTCAGTAGAACTCGATGGTTCTTGTGTCTGATTGTTCCACTATCCTTTCTTAACAAATATATACTCTATGTCGTAGTTTCATAGTTCTTCAACCTTTTTTGCTTCACTGCTGTCCCTTTCCCGATTTTTTCTTACTCCAAAAAGGCGTTAGCCCAAAGAGGTTATTAGTCTCGAAATGGGATCTTACGTCATCCCCTATGAACGGTGAATCACTTTTTAAATTGTTGCCACCAAATATTGTCACTCTATATTATTTTTAAAGAAATTAAGAAGGAAGAATCTACAGGTATATGTGTGTTCCTCGCGTTGTGAAAAAATGACGTTACCTAGGACCGTCAGATTTTGAATAGCGTATTCCTCCACTCGAACGTGGGCACCTGGAAGCCCAAATTTTGAATTTTGTATTTCGTCTTTTATAAAATTTTAATGAATTTTTGATTAACAAATTTAACGACTTGAAAGAGTCCAGTGGCAACACTGTACGGAATAAAACATTTTTTTATTTCAACGCATGAAACTGTCTATCAGAAATTCTAAAGGTATGCTGTTTTTAAAATATTTTGCAACTTTGCTGTTGAATAGAACTTTATGTGACATAAGTGCAAAGACGTGATATTTGATAAATATAGTTAACACACAAAACATTTTTAATTAAAAGACTAAAAAAAAAAAGTTTTGCAAGCCATCTATCTAAGAAAACTGAATATTGATAAGATGAACTATGACAAGAAAACTGAATATGCTATTGATATGGTGAATATTGATATGAGACGGAAAAAATATAAAAAGATGTATGCCAACACTTAACACTGCATCGGGAACTCTAAACAAATGCTGCTATGTTGCTTTTAAATTTTTGTCATTTTGCTGTTAAATTATATATGACGTAAGCGCGAAGAAAATGGTTCTTAATAACAAAAATAAAATGACAAAAACAAATGAATTAGCAGGAGGCAGTTGAACAGCAGACTGGTAGACTGCGAGCTCAGCGAGGGCGTGAAAACCTTAACAGACCGGTTTGAGCGACTGTTAAAATCTGAAACCTTTCAGGTTTTTTTTTTTTTTTTTTTTTTTTTTTCCCCGCTTAGCACCTTTGTATATAATATATTAAAAATATATTAAATGACTTTTGAATGTTATCTATAAGCGCTGACTGAAAATGCATAAAAATTTTAAAATTTTAGGTATGTACTGCACTGGTACTTAAAGTATTAGCTTAACTAACCTTCTTGCAGTTACGCGAATTTCCATAAGTAATGACTTATGGTTGGAAATTATGGCAAAAATTATTTACTGCATACTTAAATGTTACTACAAACATAGTTTGTGTGTTAACCAGGTATTTGTCCCCAAAAACTTTAATTATAAGCATGTTACTATTACTTTTATGGCGGAAATTTCATGATGATATCGTTTTGAAAAGATTCAAAGCATTGTTCCTTTAGCGATTTTGCGACAAAGTAGTGTATTCCTGCAGAATTCCACGGCAGCTTTAGCCGCTCGAGCGTCCAACCTCCTAAAATAATTATTATAAAAAAAGAAAAAATAGGTTATGATTTGAATGAGTCCAGCTCGTTCCATTTCATAAAAATATTGATTATTTCTAATTGGACATATCGTGATTTTAATGTAAATTTATTTAAATCAATCACATTAAAAAGTAAAAAAAATGTACTTAATAACTGCGCTGTGTTTATTGCTTTTAGTTTATTACTGAGTAACCTTCTAGATTGAATCTGAAAGTACGTTAAGATTTATTGAATTTACTCGCTGGCACATGGAACATAAAAGTACTTTATTTTCAGCCGTGACGATACATTGCTTTCAAGGCCGAGGTTGTTAATTAAAACTGAAATATAAATATCGTATAATTTTCCGAATGACAACAGTCTCTCACTCTGGAGATAAAAGTGTTTTGTTTCGAAGAGTGTTGTAAATAGGTAGTACAGTATAGCATTGTAGATAGGAAGTTGTGCCCATGCACCCGCATATATTTCTACGTAACGTGACACAGTAAGGCAAAATATCAACCTAGTATCCTATTATGAAATTAATAATCGTCTATTGCTAGTTATAACATTATTTTATGGATTTATAGTTATGTAAGTATATGAAGTAAGTGCCAAATTTATTCCACAATGAATATGTGTACCAATTAAGCGTATATACGCTTTTGTCTATAGTAATTGTGTCTGTATATCCTTGTTTTATGTAATTGTACCTGTATCTACTATGTTATCACATAACTTGCACTGTATAGTTAAATGCATCTTTACGCACTGAATAATCATGTACCTAATGTTCTGTACTCAAAATGTCTGTATATATGTATATGAATTTATGTTTCTGTAATATTATAAGTAACTATGCACTGCACATTTTATCCTGTAACACGGCACCGTATCGCAAAATCAAAATGTCGGCATCATTAAGTCGGACTCTATTAATTGTACCAATTATCTGTTCAGCATCGTATTAAGTACCTATTTTCTTATGTTTAGTGCACTTACCTACGCTTGGTACCACAATTACTTTACGGACCGTGTTTATTCTTGTAATTGTAATGTACTTAGGAAACAGCAAAATATTACAGACACTGACCCACAGTACTATCTGGTCCAACTTTTATTTCACGTACTAATTATTATTCCACAATGCGCACCTAATATTTCAGTATGTACTGCTCAAAAAAAAAAAAAATGGGACAGTGCTATATCTCCCGTTCTACTGGGCCGATTGCCGATTGACAAAATTCAAACTGCGTTTTTCATGTCTCGAAAGCGCGACTTAGGATATATATTAGATTTATATATAGCACTATTCTAACATAGGTATTTTGACACAAAATCGGACTTTTTCTGAAATAACATACCAATTTTTTTCCATATTTCGATTCTACGACTCAAATTATGCCAGAATACCAAGTTTTGTAAAAATCGTACGAGTAGTTTTTAAAATATTAGCTCTCAAAATTTTAGCTCCTCAATGTTAATTGAATTTGGCAAATATTTATTAATATCTCTTTTTTTATTAAACTTTTTTGATTTTTTTTCTCTCACATTTCGAAATTTAGGTTCATTCCAAATAAAATTTACCCATTTTTTGTTTTGTTTTATTTTTAAATTTCTATTTTTAAATAATTTTTATAAATTTTTCGAAAAAAATTTTGAATTATAACCTATAAAATTTTTACCATCATCTTAAAGTAGGTGTATTTTTAAGCATATCTGCAAAAAAATTAGACTTTTTTATTCAAAATTTTCTAAGATATACACGAATTTACATATTTTCGCGTTTTGAAATTTGGCATCTTTTTTTTTGAGCGATAATAACGCCAAATGTGGTCTATGGATTTTTGTTACAGTGAATTGCCACAGCTATTTTTAACCTTAAATTTCAAGTAAAATTTTACGGAGAATTAATTATATGACATTTTTTCCCTCAATGATGCGTAATAAATATTTATTAATACTATATGAAAAGCTATTTTTTAAATTATAGATTTTTTAATATTTTTTTTTAATTTCTCTCTATCTTTTTTTTTTTTTTTTTTTTTTTTTTTTTTTTTTTTTAATAAGAGTAAATTTTTGTAAGAGTAAATTTTTACCTTCGGCGTTTTATCGTCTGCTACTTTACTTCGTTTAAATCGAATTGTCTAAAACTGAGAATTTTCGTTTGATGTTTTTATTTGAATTTTATGACATTAACTGCATAATTTATTTCTAAACAAACTGTTGCTTTTGAAGTGGCTGAAAGAGCGGCTGATACTATCATCCATATTTTTAAAGCACAGTATATTTTTATAGAAACATAAGATTTAGAATAATCATTTTTATAAAAGTCAAATTATGATATAAACATACAACCCTCTAGAGACTGAATTAATGGAAGTTCAATGGTTATGTAGAAATGATCTGCAGCTACTTAATGGCTGGGATAAGTCAGCAGATTCTGTGGACAAGTAAGAATAATTATATAAACGACACCCAACATTCTGGATTCAATTAACAACGAGGATACGATGTTTATTAAATGAATTTAAGAAGTTTTAAAACATAAAAAATCAACTCATTTTTTATCCTAAAATGTATTTTTGTGCGTAGCGTATTTTCATTATTCTATTTAAAATTCTAAAATTCTAATTTAGAATGTAATTGTCAAGAACTGAATCCTAATCATCAGTAATATAATAAGTAATTATTACGGTTATTAATAAATCCTTCTTATAAAGTAATTGCAAATACGTATTTCAAAACACTT